CAAATCATTGGATCACAGGCTCCCAGCCTGGTTTGTGTTGGAAGGAACCTCAAATCTCCTCCAGCTCCAACCCCTGCCACAGGCAGGGACCCCTTCCACTGGAGCACCTTGCTCCAAGCCCCTGTGTCCAACCTGGCCTTGAGCACTGCCAGGGATGGGGCAGCCACAGCTTCTCTGGGCACCCTGTGCCAGCGCCTCAGCACCCTCACAGGGAAGAGCTTCTGCCCATCCACCACCTGACGCGTGCAGAAGCGGCCGCTCCTTCCGGCTGGGATCGATGTGTGTGGTGATCCTCGGTCTCAGCTGTAACTCGCTTTTCTGTGAGCTGAAGCTCTGGGCGTTCTGTGGCAGTGAACTTGTGGTTACCGTGGCCACATTAATGCTTCAACATCAATTACCATGGTGCTTTCTTCCCGAGCTAAGCTGCAGTAATGTAATAGGTTGACAAATGTTATTAATTATGCCAACATATAGAAATACATTGATAGAAAGAGGAAGCTGATCATGTTGTACTAGCCCTACAGACTTGCTGTTACAAGCCTCAGGAAAGAATTTATTAGGTCTTCACCATTGTAGAAAGTCATTCTTGGAGTTAAAACTTTCCTTTTTTTATCCATAACGCTGGAAAATGTGCAGATAAATAGTGAAAGGTTGACTTAATCCTTGAAATGTGACTTTTAATTCTCTGTTTTCCCAAGATCTGAGGAGAGTGGATACCAGGTTTACTAACTGCACCCATTGTTTTCCTGCTGTTGAGCACTGATACCAAGTCCTGAGTGTGAGCCCTCACTGGGTGTCCACTGTGTATCTGAAGTTTCATGGTACTTTCGTCTTGCCATACTTTTAGGTAGCTTGCATAGAAATGTAGAATAAACAGCAAAAATAATGAAAACACTCACAAATTTGAGATAATAAAGACAAACCCTTCATTTTTTTGCATCTCACGTTGAGGCGTCCTTCTGCAGAAGGAATTTTTGCAGAGAAACATGTTCTTCATTCCCTTTATTTCACTGGAGAATGGAAGCTTTATCACAGAGTACATTTTGTGACTACAATGACGTCTTAATTACAGGGATGCAGTGCAGCACCTGGTCCTCTCTTGTGAAGTGGGCTGGACTGGGCTGCGTGAGGTTCGCTGAGGTCCTGCATGCCCCTGCTTGTCATGCAGTGCTGGAGATGGAGGACAAGAACATGCCAAACTGAGCAAATCCAGGTCATGGTGTTCATCTCTTTTTGTGGTTCATGGCTGGTCACTTGGTACCGGGGAGAGTCAGGAAGAGGCATGTTTCTCTCATGGCAAATACCATTGTATGTCCAGCAGCCCCACTTACCTGCAGAGGTGCCATATTGATAACAAGCGTTAAAGGAGTCAGTAGGAGTCATTAGTGTAGTTTTGTCACAAGGAGCTAGCGAAGTACCCATCGGGCACACACAGCACATGGCATCGGCATCGGGTTGGGATGTGACCAAGAAGTCGACGTCCTTTGCTGTGGTGCCACAATCCCTTTTGTCCGCACATTGCAGGTGGGCTTAGGATAGGATAGGATAGGATCACAGAATCAGCCAGGTTGAAAAAGACCTGTAAGGTCAAGTCCAGCTGTTGCCCTGGGGCTGCCAAGGCCCCACTAAACCATGTCACTAAGTATAGGGTGGAATAGGAATAGAATAGAATAGTAACAGAATAGAACAGAATAGACTAGACTAAGATAAGGTAAGGTAGAGTAGGATAGAAGCAAAGTAGAACAGAACAGAATAGAACAGAATATTTCAGTTGGAGTTAGAAGAGACCTCCAATGGTCATCCAGTCCTTCAGGGCTGACCAAGTTAAAGCATGTTATTAAGGCCATTGTCCAAATGCCTCTTAAACCCTGGCAGGCTTGGGGCCTTGGCTGCCTCATCTTCTATTCACTGGCAGTGAGTGTCATGAGTCCTCCAGGGGTGCCTCAGGACCAGCCACCCCCACATCATCAGCTCTTGCAGCAGCGGGTGAAGGGCAGCTTTGTCCTGTCAGCTCGCAGGGAGCGCGGCCTCAGATCACAAGTAGCTGTTCCAGGCACGTTCAGGTTCCTGTCTCTGTGATCATCACGTATTCTGTAGTGGTACGTTGTCATCCGTAGAAATCCAGCGTGCCGAACACAAGAGCAACGTGCTGCTGCTGTGATCAACTTCCCCAAGTGCTGAGGTTTGCTGCTTTAATGGGATTGCTCACTCGTTCCTGAAGAAAATAATGAAACTGAAAGCAGCCAGTGCCTGTTTCTGACACCAGCTGAGCCTCAAAGGGCAGAACCCTGGATTTAACTTGCTGGAAGTGACATCTTCACTGACAGGTTCAAGGTGACTTTTCGTATCTGGATTTCTTGCCTGCTGCCTGGAGCGTGCTTTCTAGAGCAGTCGTAGCCATGGAGACATGGCAATGACACTTTGGGGTTTGTTTTCTTAGTGGCAGTGCTTTTTTTACACAATATTCCAAACATTGTACTGAGGAACTGTCAGGAGCCGTCCTCCCAGAGTGATCACAGAGCATGAGTGCTCCCAAGGGTTTCACTGCCAAGAGAGCGCTGTCACTGTGCTGGGTTTCCTCTTTGAGTGGTTCTGAGTGACAGAAGCTCAGTTAATTGATTTGTTAGCACGTGAAGAAGCCTGGATCTGTTGCCCCAGATGCTTCAGCGTTGTGTGTTGTGTGAGAGCAGTTTGGATCTGAGAGAGAATATGAGCACGATGCAGTCGCAGCTTTGCATTGCTGCAGTCACTACAGGCTCCCTAAGAGGGGTGGTAGGGAAAAACCTCAGTAAAATCATAGAATGGTTTGGGTTGGAAAGGACCTTAAATTTCCAAGCCCCTGTGTCCAACCTGGCCTTGAGCACTGCCAGGGATGGGGCAGCCACAGCTTCTCTGGGCACCCTGTGCCAGCGCCTCAGCACCCTCCCAGGGAAGAGCTTCTGCCTAAGAGCTCATCTCAGTCTCCCCTCGGGCAGGTTAAAGCCATTCCCCTTGGCCTGTCCCTACATCCCTTGTCCCAAGCCCCTCTCCAGCTTTCCTGCAGCCCCTTCAGGCACTGGAGCTGCTCTCAGGTCTCCCCTTCAGGAGCCTTCTCTTCTCCAGGCTGCCCCAGCCCAGCTCTCTCAGCCTGGCTCCAGAGCAGAGCTGCTCCAGCCCTCGCAGCATCTCCATGGCCTCCTCTGGCCTCACTCCAACAGCTCCACGTCCCTCTTGTGCTGAGGACACCAGAACTAGGCACAGTGCTGCCAGTGGGGTCTCACCAGAGCAGAGTAGAAAGGAGCAGAGGGAAAGAAGGGGTGTGATAAGGAGATGACACCACCCATGTAGCTGAGCCCTTTGGAGGCACAGGGGCTGTCAGGATGGGGCGGCATTGGGTTCTCTAATGAATCTTTCATGGAGTCTCCTGCAGCATCGTTGAGGAGGAGATGGTGCATCTGCCCTTCAGCATCACTTGTGGAGTGTGGAGTGGGCTGGGAGCGCAGGCAGATATGTGGTAAGAGCTGGCCCAGACTCTGTTTTCAATTAATTTGGCAAAGTTTTCTGAGTTCTCCTGCAGAAAATGTCCCACAAAAGCGACAATAACAATATTTTGGATATCAGCCTAGCACAAAAGGGTAATAGGAACTCCACGGGCATGCGTGAGCTTTTGATTCATCCTCAGAGATGACAGATGTGCATTTATTTAAGATCTGCGAGTGGGATTCGGAATATTTATGGTGAATTCTTTGCTCCCGCTCTTCCTGTGTGATCCTGGTCTCCGCTGCCAGTCAGACACGGGTTCAGTGCTCGCTGTTGAGCACCTCATGCTTCGTTCTTGCTGCAGGTCCCCAAACCCGTGCCCCGCATTTCTCTTCATCCAGCCTTCTGGGGAGGAAATGCTGAGGGTCCCCTTGCATGTCAGGATCTTGTGGTGGGAATGCCAAGGATGAGGAGGGTGCAGCTCAGGCCGCTGGGGAGCTCCTCCTCAGCACCTCTGGCCTCTTTGGGAGCGCAGTGCTTGTGCTGCAGCCAGCCCCAGAGTGCAATGTGTGCCATGGGCTCTGTTTGCAGCGTGCAGCTTCCTGAGCTCTGAGGGCATCAAGGAATTGAGACAGAAAGAGGCAATTTGTAAAGAGGGGGTAATGGTGTGTCCGGTACCCCGGCTTTTGTGGGAGTGTTTGTTTGTTTGTTTGTCTGTGAGGCACTCCCTGTGTGGCAATGAGGGTTATTCCATTAGTGGTATAAACAGACCTGCATTTTTCCTGTGAGGGTGCTGAGGCGCTGGCACAGGGTGCCCAGAGAAGCTGTGGCTGCCCCATCCCTGGCAGTGCTCAAGGCCAGGTTGGACACAGGGGCTTGGAGCAAGCTGCTCTAGTGGAAGGGGTCCCTGCCCGTGGCAGGGGTTGGGACTGGCGGAGCTTTGAGGTCCCTTCCAACACAAACCAGGCTGGAGTTCTATGGTTATATCTTTTTTGTTTACAGAAGACTGAGGTTAGATTAGATCACAGCAATAGTTTAGCAAAAGTAATTTCATTTGCAGCGCGGCTGATCACGGCACTAACTGAAGGGTTATCGCTGCACCGACCTCTCTTGTCATTGCTAATTGTCTTGTCATCCTCTAAGTGTTATCCTTTGGAATGCCCCAGTGCCAAACCCCTGGGATGTTGAGTGTGAAGCTGTATGGATCCGGGCGCTTGTGTTCTGCTCTCGGCCATGCTGTGAGTTGGCTCATGTGCTTATGGCATATCTGTGGGACTCCTCCTGTATCAACACAGGCCAAAGCTGCATTTTAACTTGTGCTAAACCAGTTCTTTAGTAATCCAGTTCAACCCCTTTTCTAGCTACTACAAGCAGGTAACGAGATTTGAAAGCAAACCGACTGCTGGCCATCACCTTCCCCAGGAGGCGGTGACTTGAAGGTTGACCAACGCTCTTCGATTGTCTCCTTGTCTTCTTTCTGAATGTAAGCTCTTTGCACTAAAGCATTTACAAATGTCAATTCTTTTTTCTTTTCCTTGTAGTGAACTTTGACCACTTCCAGATTCTCCGGGCGATTGGGAAGGGAAGCTTTGGCAAGGTAGGCTTGGACCCTCGGTCCTCGGTTTGCTTGTATGTTGTATCAGATGTCTGCTGTTGCATACTTGCTGCCACAGGAACGGTGCTGAAATAGGCCACTTTCATTGCTGTATCATGACTGCTCAGCAAACACAGGAAGAATGTGTTCAGGAAACACCTTGCTGCCGTTTGGCATTACTTTATTTCTTGGCATCTTGGTGAAACAGGTGTATTTGGAACTACAGCACAACTGGGGCCATTTCACAGCACACACTCATCGTGTTCTCTGCTTCCTGGGAGGGCTGATGGCTTGTGAGGGGGGCCAGTAAGTCAGGAGGGCGTAGGGAGTTGTGCTGGGTGAGGGACTGAGCTGGCACGATGGGGTCTGGAGGGCTCTCTGAAGCCCTGGGCTGTTTTCCCCATCAGAAATGAGTTATGCTGAGAGGTTTTGTTGTTTATTTTTAACAAGGGTTTTTTGCCAAGCATGTGGGAGAAGGTGGGAGGTGATGATCAAAAAGCTGGAGAGCTCTGGAAATCTGTTACTGCTCAGTTTCCTAGCTCTAGGCCTCTCTTACACGCTTTTTCAGTGGCTCTTACTCGGTCCTGTGTCAATAGCTCTTTGCTGCTTCTGTCGTGGCATTTTACACCATTTGCGTGCACTGCAAGCACCAAGTCCAGTGCGTGCGTGTGCATGTGCTGTGTTCTTGCACGTGTGTGCGACTTCACTGCCCCGGTGCTGTTCTGTAGTTTTCTTGTGGAGATTGTGTTTCACCTGGGATGTGATGTGCTGGGTCGGCAGGAACAGCGAGTGAGGGGGGTGAAAACGCTTCAGCTGGAGGTTTCACTGCGTAAGTCGGAGATCATTTTGTTCTGAAATCACCTCTGCTCTGGAGCCAGGCTGAGAGAGCTGGGCTGGGGCAGCCTGGAGAAGAGAAGGCTCCTGAAGGGGAGACCTGAGAGCAGCTCCAGTGCCTGAAGGGGCTGCAGGAAAGCTGGAGAGGGGCTTGGGACAAGGGATGTAGGGACAGGCCAAGGGGAATGGCTTGAACCTGCCCGAGGGGAGACTGAGATGAGCTCTTAGGCAGAAGCTCTGAAATCCTCGTTTTAGATACTTCAGACGTGGCATCAGTCGTGAGGAACAGCGCCAGCACACAATCCAGCCGCAGTGTTGATGAGGTAGAGTCCAGCTTTCAGAGTCGAGCGAGTGGACACTGTTAGTCACAGCGCTGTCCTTAGCACTGCTTGCTGGTGGAGATGTTCTGTCACAGCCTCAGCTAACTGCCGAGCACCGAGGTATCTTTCACACTGTTCTGATGTGCTTGGGGCACTCTCCCATGCTAATTCCTGCCTGGCTTTGTTGTGAGTCCATGTGGGGCTGCCACGGCTGGTGAACATGGAACGCTGGGCAGTGTGCAAGCCTCGAGGAGCAGGGTTTGAGCAGTCACCCGTGTTTGCAGCCATGTCTCGAGGAAGAAAAGGCAAAAGCTGGCAGCAGAGCTCTGTGGGGTTCCTGAGGTTATAACAGATGATGCAGAATGGTTAAATACAAGCTCAGACCCTTCCTTAGGGTAGTGCTGTAAAGATAAAAGGCAAACAGCAGAGGAAGGTCTCCCCAGACAGCCCTGGCCAGGATAGGAGCTCTCAGGGTTTTGTGACTTCTGCTCATCATTGAGGACCAAAACCTAAACCAAAACCTCGCTACAGAATAGCAGCCAACAGTATTTTGGGAGCTCATATGAGAATACTCATAGTTCTGAATGTAAACTTGCCAAAGAGGATTTATTCTGTTGAGCAGCAGCACTTGGGGATGGAAAATTAATTCTGCTCAGAACATGAAATGGGGAAAAAGATATTCCTGTCCCAGGGCAGGGCCTTTTTGGCTTTGAAGAGAGCTGCTCCTCATGGCTGCTTCCTTCTCTGTTTATGCTAAAGAAAGGTTAAGTCTGGCACATAGCAGTCTATCAGGCATCAGAATTGTATATACACTTTCAACAAAATGCTGCAGTGATTCATCTGTCATCTTTCTGGATAATTATGTCAATATGCTAAATTTCCTTTGATGCTAAGAAAAGCTTTTTGCATTTACAAAGTCATTTACAACTCGCATTTAATTACAGAAAATGTAGATCTTCCTACCTGGAAACTGGGGTTTGAAATGTATGAGTGATTTGGTTGCTTTGGTTGATTCAAGCACCATCTGCCCACAGTGAGGAAGGAGTTGAGGAGCCGCTATCCAGTCCATCTCAAAGCGGGGATGCAGGTCTCACTGCGCAGTGAGTGACCTGGGAAGTCTGGTGTGCTGTGTGATCTCGTGGTGATGGGAGGCAGCACCAACACTGCTGGGTAGCTTTGGGCAAGGCATTTGCTTTCCCCTCAGGACAGGCTGTGTGTTCCTGAGCACAGGAACCCTACCAAAGGAAGGAAACAGGAACTCAGGAATTGCTTTTGAAGAGGCCGGGGAGCCTGGAGCTGTGGCTCTTGCAGGTCTGCAAAACCAAACCCATTTCTGTTTCCTAGAGATGGGTTTAATCAACTTGAAGATACTATTAATCAAATGAACGTCATGTTTAATTCCATGTTTACTCAAATGGGCAAATGGGTAATATTTTCCATCCATATTAGAGGTAATGTTATTTGATTTTCAGTATTTTCATAGGAGCATTACATTTGTCCTGTGGCACAGACTCCTTTTCAAGCAGCAGCAGTTACTGAGGCTGTCGCTGTTCTGTTGCTGTTACCCAAGGAGCAGCAGCCAAGAGAGGGTTCATAGAATCCCAGCTTGGTTTGTGTTGGAAGGGACCTTAAAGCTCCCCCAGCTCCAACCCCTGCCATGGGCAGGGACCCCTTCCACTGGAGCAGCTTGCTCCAAGCCCCTGTGTCCAACCTGGCCTTGAACACTGCCAGGGATGGGGCAGCCACAGCTTCTCTGGGCACCCTGTGCCAGCGCCTCAGCACCCTCACAGGGAAGAGCTTCTGCCTAAGAGCTCATCTCAGTCTCCCCTCGGGCAGGTTCAAGCCATTCCCCTTGGCCTGTCCCTAGAACATGGGTTCCAGAATGTGATGCAATTTGTGTAACGGGAACCACTCCGAGCTGCATTATGCTTCACGAGAGACATGGTGAGACCTGGGAATCCTGGAAGGCATTGATTGCATTGCAAGAATCCTGACATCTCCCTTCCTAAAAATTGAGCTCTCCTGGCTGCAGTCTTCCTCCATTTGAACCAGGAGGCAGCCCAAGCGTGTTCGCTCCCGTAATCCTCCTCCCACTTGGGTTTCCTTCTGATTCTCCCTCAAATCAGCCACTGTCACCTATTCCAAGGGGTAAAGAACTGGATAAGGTTATGGGAACTCATTATTTCCACTTCAGTGCTGTGAAGTGGTTTATACTGTTGGAAATAGGGGATTAAGCCAGTGAATGGGGGTTGGAATGAGCAGCAACGTGGTGTTTTCCAGAGCAAACAAACATGTCTCAGGGTGGGTGGGCCCATGCGGGCAGTGCCTAGGGGCTAGGTGTGTGTGTGTGTGTGTGTGTGTGTGTTGCTTTCAGTAACATCTTTGTCTTTTTTTTCTTTATTTTAAGTAATTTGTGAAGTTTTAGTAGGACCTGGGGAGGTTCAAGGCAACCAAAGAGGGTTTTATGGTAGTCAGGTATTGACTGGAGCACAAGTGTGATGGGGAAGGGCTGAGGGACCTGGGGGGTTCAGTCTGGAGAAGAGAAGGCTCAGGGGGGACCTGATGGCTCCCTACAAGTGCCTGACAGGAGGATGGAGCCAGGAGGGGCTGGGCTCTGCTCCCAAGGAACAAGGGATGGGACAAGAGGAAACGGCCTCAAGCTGCACCAGGGCAGGTTTAGATGGAGCTGAGGAACAATTCCTGCCCCAGAGGGTGCTCAGGCATTGGAACAGGCTGCCCAGGGCAGGGCTGCAGTCAGCTCATCTCATCTCATCTCATCTCATCTCATCTCATCTCATCTCATCTCATCTCATCTCATCTCAGCTCATCTCATCATGGCAGGCAGTGGAGCTGTCCCTGCTCGGGGTGCAGGGGGGTCCCTGCTCCTGGGGCAGATCCTCCTGACCCTTCCCTATCTCGTGCTTGTCTGGGTTTGCTCTGCACAAGCACTGTGATGTCTGGGTGTGCTGCCTGAGTCGCTCACACAGCCCAGGCTGGGTGCTGAAAGCCTTAATCCATTCTGTAAAGGTCAGACATGCCCGCCCGGCACATACACTGCAAATACAATTCCCTTGAAGTCCGGTCTCAGCAGAGCCCCTCTCTGATAGCACAACTTGAGCCTTTTTCCCAGCTTTATAAATGTTGAATTTTTCTCCGAAAAGAAAGGCCAGACACGTAATCCTTTGATATCAGAGGTATTTTCTGCCCTGTGTTTTCCATTGCTGAGCTGGAGCCCGTGTGAGGTCGAGGGTCTGACAGAGCACAGGCAGGGTCCCCAGACGCATCCTCCCTGGACATGGGCCCTGTCACTCCTTCACACGCTGCTGCCAGCCCCGACGCTGGTTCGGGTGGCAGCAGAAGGACCTGCACTGAGGTCAGGAGGCTCCAGAGGTGAGCATGGGTTTGCTTTTCCAAGAGCACTGTGGGCAGCTGGGAGGGGGCAGCCAGGCGAGGGGTGCCCACAGGTCTGCAGTCTCTGCTGTTTGACCGCCCAGCCCTGCCTGGTGAGGTTCCAGGATGTGGCCCCAGCCTGGATGAGGGAAAGGCCTTGCACCACCCTGCGTGGCTCCCAGAGCTGCACGGGGCGCTCTGTGGGATGCGGTAACAGGCAGTGGTGATGTGGAGGACGTGTTTCACCGTAGCGTGAGGCACGGGAGCAGCTCCCTGGCTGGGGAGGGCACCTGCCCAAACCCTTCTCTGCCAGCGGGTGCGTGCGGAAGCGCAGAGCACAGGGAGGGTGATGCTCCCTCCGATACAACCTCCTGGGTACTGTTTGCTGATGTTCTTCCTTCCCTGGGTGTTGCTAAGCTGTCACTGGGAAAAGCCATGGGAGGGAATGGCAGAGAACGA